TAATCGGTTTCGGCGGTTACCCAACAGGTAGCGGTTCTGGAAAAATAAAAACCGGAACCGAAACCGCTTAAGGCGGTTTCAAAACATTAGGAACCGGAACCGGAACCGCCAAAGACGGTTCCCATTCCGGAACCGTCGGTTCCAAAGCGGCTTCGGTTCCGAAAGCGGGTATCCTGTTCCGATGCTCATCCCTAATACCTTTTTTATAATAAATCTATCTCCATAAACATTTCATAATCACCACTAAATTGCCCCAAATCAACATCAACATACATTCTATCCATTCCCACCTCCACCTCCGGTCACATTTATTGACATTTCCACAAAAATTATCACAAATGTTAATTACCATATAAAGAAACTTCATTCTTTCAAATTTGTAGCTTCCTGGAGTGTATATTTAGAATCTTGGAGGTAAAGGTGTCCACTTTCTTAGTTTTGTAATTTCAAGAGAATGTGATCATTTTCATTTTTATATTAATTAAATTAGCTTTGAACAAATCATTTGTGAGAAAAACCTTCAGTGAGTGTCCTGCAAAAACTTGCCATCCAAACTAACTCGATCCAGTAACTCACTGGAAATGGGGCCAACTCACAAGATTGATTACAGTGACTCTTGGGAATGAATTTGGTAATGATGCAATTGGAGAATGAACAAGTTCCACTCCAAATCCTAATCTGTGAAAATTCAATTGTAATCAGAACTCTACATATAATTATGCCCAAATCTCTGAATTACTCACGGAAACTTACAAAACTACAAAGTAAATGGATTGAATTCGATAACTTTCGACGAATTACATGGCTGAAGTTAGAACTCCACAAGAGGATGAACTAATCAAGACATTTCTATCTCTGACAACGAGTCCATGGAGAGAACTTCAAACATAGCATCACAAACCAGTTTTCTGTAATTTCCGGGCGACCGTGTGAGGATCAGACATTAGGGTTTTCACCAAGCTTTGTTGTGGGGTGATTTCGGGGAAAAATCATTGAGAATTTGGGTGAATTTGTGTGGAAATGTCGATAAGTGTCACTGGAGGTGGAACTCAGAGCGGATAAAATGAATGTCAAGTGTTGATTTAGCGAGACTGAAATTGGATGAAAAGCACGGTGATTATAATATGTTGACAAAATTGCAAAAATGGTCCATGTGGTTGTCAAAATTTTGTGCTTTTGGTCCAAAACGAAATGTTGGTGCACCATTTGTCCAAAATTGGATATTTTTAGTGATTTTGGTCCCCATCCACTTAAAAAGACAATTATACCCTTCATATTTGTTTTTCTTATTTTTATATAAATTTTAATGATTTTAAGTAATTA